AAAAAAAAAAAAAAGAAATCACTCCCTACTCTGAGATCTATGTTTTCTTCTACACATTTCAGTTTTGTCTTTCACATTTAGTCCTATTATATACCAGGAATTTACTTTTCTGTTTGGTATGATTTAGAGACTTATTTTTAAATATTTTTTCACATATGGATATGCCCAGCACCATTTACTGAATCGTTTCTTTTTCCCCAATTATATCAGGCATATCAGGCAATTGTAATACCGTATCTTTGCATCAGTTTCCTGTATAGCCAGTATTTTTTGTATATGCCTAGGTCAAATTCTCTTTTTCTGCTCCTTTGATCTATTTTATCTATCCTTGCACAAATACCATACTGTCTTGATTATTTTCACTTTCTAATAATTCCAGATATCTAGTAGGATAAGTATTTCTACATTTTATAATGCTGTTCTTCCTTCTTTTGCTCTTCCAGATATCTTTTACAATCAGCTTATCAAGTTCTTTGAAAAAACCCTGTTAGGTTTTTCTAGTGAAATCTATTAGAGTTTTCACTGGAAAACTATTAATTAGGAGAGTGTTGACAGCTTTGTGATTCAGTTATTCATTCATCATTCACTGAATATTTAAGTAGTGCCTCCTTTAAACTGGGAACTAAACTTACAAATATGCCTGCACTCATGGAACTTACATTCTAGTGGAAGGAAATAAATGATAAAGAAGGCAAATAAATGATACATTCTGTTATTCACAACATTATTCACAGCAGCCAAACACTGGAAACAATTTACTGGTATATCTGTACACTGGAATACTATCAGCAGTAAAATGGAAGAGACTACTTACTCATGTATTAATACAGATGAATCCCAAAAGTACTATACTGTGTGAAAGAAGCCAGATACATTAGACTACACATTACATGACTATTTCTGTGAAATTTCTACAAAAGGCAAAGCTATAGCTATATAGTATAGGTCATTGGTTGCCTAGGACTTGATGTGGGCACAAGGATTGACTTTAGAAGAGTATGAGGGAATTTTGGAGGATGATGGGAAATGTTCATTGCATTGTGGTGATGATTGTACAACTCTCTGAATACACTAAAAGCTACTGAATTGTACAGTGGGTGAAATTTTTGGTATAGAAATTATCTCAATAAGTAACCACTATTAAGGACTTCAGCTTTTACAGTGAATGAGATGGGGGAGTCAATGTAGTGTTTCAAATAGAGGAGTGACATGATCAGACATAACTTTTTATGAGTAGTTGCATGCTGAAAATAGACTGAAAGGAAGCATGGGTGGAAGCAGAGAAACTAGTTAGAAAATAGCCGTTCAGGAAAGAGATGAGTAACTTGGACCAGAGTTGAAGCAATGGTAGTGGTAAGTGGTTCCTTTCAGAATATACTTTGAAGGAAGAGGTAACAGGATTCACCAACATATTTGAGATGAAAAACGAGAGTGGAGACAAGGAAGATGCTGTTTCTTTCAGCCAGAAAAACTGAAAAGAGGAAGATTTAAGGTGAAGCAGAATTTGGGGAAAATTCCAGGAGCTCTGTTTTAGACATGTTAGCAAAGCCCAGCAGACATCCAAGCACAGGTTTGAGTAAGTGAACTGGATATTAAAATCTGGAGTATAAGGAAGGCCTCAAGTAAATATTATATTTAAAACCATGATGAGGTCTCCATCAACACAGTGTACTTAATTTAAGACAAGACTTTATTTCCCCTTCAGGTACTCTTTTCTGATTAACTTAATCTCCCTGCCAAAGAGAAGAAATATGTTAATTAATTCTTGCATTTTAGGATCTTCAAGATGAAGTTCAAAGGGAGAATACTAATCTGCAAAAGCTACAGGCCCAGAAACAGCAAGTACAGGAACTCCTTGATGAACTGGATGAGCAGAAAGCCCAGCTGGAGGAGCAGCTGAAGGAAGTCAGAAAGAAATGTGCTGAGGAAGCTCAGCTGGTAAAGTCTGATTGTTCAGTGCTGCCCACATCTAGACCTTACTTGCTTTTCCTACGTTAAGAGGAAAATCTGTGCTTTTTTTTTTTGTTATTATTAGGTGGCAGTCTAGTCAGCAGTTGGGCACATGAAAGGGGTGGAGCAAGGTTTATCTAAAAATTAATAGGCTTTCTGTAGGGGAAACAGCAGAGTGCTTAATGTCTTGTTTTTCCAAATTTTACTTGGAAATATGGTACCTGTACCTCGAATTTCCTTTATACCTCCCCCTGATTGCCCTTCTCAAACATCAAAAACAAACACTAAAATAGTAAGCTAAATAATGAAAGTACTGCATTATGGAACATTTTAATGACAGCTTTTAATTCTTTTTTCTTCCCATTCATCTCCATATTACAGATCTCTACTTTGAAAGCTGAATTAACAAGTCAGGAATCGCAGATCTCCACTTACGAAGAAGAACTGACCAAAGCCAGAGAAGAGCTGAGCCGCCTACAGCAAGAAACAGCAGAATTAGAAGAGAGCGTGGAGTCGGGGAAGGCTCAGTTGGGACCTCTTCAGCAGCACGTGCAAGATTCACAACAGGAAATCAGTTCAGTAAGTCTTCGTGGAAGTGAGAAATAAGCTCAAATGGGCCATAATACATGTATGTATATGTGTATATAGCTCCATATCCTTTTAGTAGTTTCTCAACTTTTGCTCCTTCTGCCTCTGTTTAGGTTATTATTCATTTTTCAGTAGTTTTACACCAACAGGTTTCTCCTCATAGGTCACCTGTCTTAAGTTAAAGCCATCATACATCTTGTACATCTGATCATTATCTTTGGAGTAGTGGTTAAGGCTTTGTAGTTAGTTGGTCTAGGTTTAAGTGCTGGCTCTGACACTTACTACCTGAATCACTTTAGTCTCAGATTCCTCATCTTTAAAAATCAGAGAATTAATAATATTCCTACCTCTTAGGGTTGTTGTAAAGAATAAATGAAGCAAAACCTATGAGGCATTTTTAGCTTAAGGCTAAAAATGAATGTACGTTAATGCTCAATAAGTGTTAATTATTTTTAATAAACAATAACCCATTGTCATACATTTTATTACCCTAATTTTAATTTTGAAAACCATTTTGCTTACTTAGAAACATTTACATATTTAATTGGAAAATTGTTACTTATAGAGATAAATGTGTAGTGTTGTCATGAGTCCCGTGTATAGATCCTTTGCTTTTTTATTTCTAGGCTTTCCTAGATGGTGACTAGTATCTTACAGAGTGATAGATGAGGTAGTTAGATAGGAGCATAGAAATCACATAGTTCATTTCTGTCATTTCGAATAAACTGAAGCCAAGGAAGGTTACGTAACTTGCCTGTAGTTACACAGCCTTTAAAAGAGCCACAGTCTAAAATCCAGGACTTCTAAACCCAGTCTAGTTTTCTTCACTAATTATTCCCCTTATATGCTTCTGTCTCTCCCTTGTCTGGCAGATGAACATCTGTTCACTCATCTTATAGGACATAGCTTAGCTCTTATTTCTTTGTAGCATTTTCTGAGCACTGCACTTGTTGGGCCAATGTAGTATGTTGAACTTCTGTTATTGCAGTAGTAACATTTTCTCCTGTATATTTGTTTATATATCTGTCTTTCCAGCTGACTGAGCTTTTTGATCAATGAAGTTGTGTGTGTGTGTGTGTGTGTGTGTATGTTGTTCTTAGGTGTCGTCGAGTCGTCTCTGACTCATAGCAACTGTATGCACAGCAGAACAAAGCACTACCTGGTCCCGCTCTAGCTCCACGATCCTTGCTTGAGTCCGTCGCCACAGCCACTGTGTCAATCCATCTCGTTGAGGGCCTTCCCCTCTTTTCGTCGACCCTCCACCTTACTAAGCATGACATCCTTCTCCAGAGAATAGTTCCTTCTGATAACATGACCAAAGTAGGTGAGACAAAGTCTGGCCATTCTCTCTTCCAAGGAGCTTTCTGGCTGCACTTCCCTCCAGGACAGATTTGTTAGTTCTTTTAGCATTCCGCGGTACTTTCAGCATTCTTTGCCAGCACCACAACTCAAAAGCATCAGTTCTTCTTTGGTCTTTCTTATTCATTGTTTAGCTCTCACATGCATATGAGGCAATTGAAAATACCATGGCTTGTGTCAGACACACCTTAGTCCTCAAGGACACGTCTTTGCTCTTCAGCACTTGAAAGAGGTCCTTTGCAACCGATTTGCCCAGTGCTATATGTCATCTGATGTCCTGACTGCTGTTCCATTGGCATCGATTGCAGAACCAAGCAATGTGAAGTCTTTGACAACTTCAATCTTCTATTTATTGTGATGCCACTTACAGGTCCAGCTGTGAGGATTTTTGTTTTCTTTATATTGAGATATAATCCATACTGCAGACTATATTCTTTAGTCTTCATCAGTAGGTGCTTCAAGTCATCCTCATTTTCAGCAAGCAAAGTTGTATCATCAGCGTATTGCAGGTTGTCAATGATTCTTGATGCCACATTCTTCTTCATATAGTCCAGCTTCTCGGATTATTTGCTCAGCATACATATTCAATTAGTATGGTGAAAGGATGCAACCCTGACACACTCCCTTCTTGATTTTAAACTATACAGTGTCCCCTGTTTTGTTCAAAGGACAGCCTCCTGGTCTGTGTACAGGTTCTTCATGAGTACAATTAAGTGTTCTGGAATTCCCATTTTTCTCAGTGTTACCCACAATTTGTTATGATCCACACAATCAAATGCTTTTGCATACTCAATAAAATGCAAGTAAACATCTTTCTGGTATTCTTTGCTCTGAGCCAAGTTCCATCTGACATCAGCAGTGATATCCCTCATTCCACGTCCTCTTCTGAATGCAGCTTGCATTTCTGGAAGTTCTCTGTCAGTATACTGCTGCAACCATTTTTTAATTATGTTCAGTAAGATTTTACTTGGATACGATATTAATGATATTGTTCGATAATTTCCACATTGTGTGGAATCACCTTTCTTTGGAATGGGTACTAATATGGATCTTTTCTAGTCAGTTGGCCAGGTAGCTGTCTTCCAAATGTCTTAGCATAACCAAGTGAGTGCCTTCAGCGGGGCATCCATTTGTTGAAACATCTCAGTGGGTATTCTGTCAATTCCTGGAACCTTGTTCTTCACCAGTTCCTTCAATGCAGCTTCAGCTTCTTCCTTCAGTACCATTGGATCTTGAACATATGCAACCTCCTGAAATGGATGAAGATCAACCAGTTCTTTTTGGTATAGTTACTCTGTGTATTCCTTCCATCTTCTTTTGATGCTTCCTGCATCATTCAATATTTTACCCATAAAATATTACAACTTGAGGCTTAATTTTTTTCCTCAGTTCTTTTAGCTTGAGAAATGCCGAGCATATTCTTCCTTTTCAGTTTTCTAGCTCCAGGTCTTTGCACGTTTCATTATAGTAATTGGCTTTGTCTGCTCGAGCTGCTCTTTGAAATCTTCTGTTCAGCTCTTTTTATCTTGTCATTTCTTCCATTTGCTTTAGCTACTCTCTGTTCAAAGGCAAGTTTCAGAGTCTCCTCTGACATCCATTTTAGTATTTTTTTATCTTTTTAATGACTTCCTGCTTTCTTCATGGACAGTGTTCTTGATCTCATCCCACAATTATTCTGGTTTTCGGTCATCGGTGTTCAGTGTATCAAATCTGTTCTTTAGATGGTCTTTAAATTCAGTAGGGATATATTCAAGGTCATATTTTAGCTCTTGTGGACTTGTTTTAAATGTTTTCAACTTCAGGTTGAACTTGCATATGAGCAGTTGATGATCTGTTCCACGACAGCTCCTGGCCTTGTTTTGGGTGAAGATACTGAGCTTTTCCATTGCCTCTTGCCACAAATGTAGTCAATCTGGTTCCTGTTTACTCTATCTGCTGAAGCCTACATGTATAGCTGCCATTTGTGTTGTTGAAAAAAGGTATTTGCAATGAATAAGTTGTTGATCTTGCAAAATTCTATCAAGCAAACCCAAGTGTTGTTTCTGTCACCAATGCCAAATTTTCCAACTACCAGTGATTCTTCTTTGTTCCAACTTTTGCATTCCCAGTCACCAGTGATAATTAACACATCTTGATTGCATGTTCAATCAATTTCTGACTGCAGAAGTTGATAAAAATCTTCAATTTCCTCATCGTTGGCTTTGGTGGTTGATGTGTAAATTTGAATAATAGTAGTGTTAACTGGTCTTCCTTGTAGGCGTATGGATATTATCCTATGAATGACAGCATTGTACTTCAGGACAGATCTTGAAACATGCTTTGCGATGATGAATGCCATTCCATTCCTCTTCAAATTGTCATTCCTTGCATAGTAGATTATATGGTTGTCTGATTTAAAATGGCTAAAACTGGTTCATTTCAGCTCTCTAATGCTGAGGATATTGATCTTTATGCGTTCCATTTCATTTTTGACAACTTCCAATTTTCCTGGATTCATACTTTGTATATTCTATGTTTCGATTAATGGACGTTTGCAGCTTTTTCTCCTAAGTTTGAGTCATGCCACATCAATAAATGGAGGTCCCGAAAGCTTCACTTTATCCATATAATTAAAGTTGGTTCTACCCTGATGAAGCAGCTCTTTCCCAGTCGTATTTTGACTGTCTTCCAACCTAAGGGGCTCATCTTCCTGCACTGTATCAGACAGTGTTTCCAGGCTGTTCATAAAGTTGCCCAGTGATGTATCAGACAGTGTTTCTCTGCTATTAATAAGGTTTTCACTGGCCAGTTTTTTGAGAAGTGGATGGCCTCTTCCTTCTTCCTAGCTGTCTCAGTCTGTAAGCTGCATTGAAACCTGTGCACCATTTGCAACCCTGCTGGGATTTGAAACACTGGTGGCACAGCCTTAAGCCTCGTAGCAACGCACAAGCCACCACAGTACGTGGTGTGTGTGTGTGTGTGTGTGTGTGTATGTGTATATAACCTCTATCATTTAGCTCAGATCTTCCTACAGGCCAGGAACTCAATAAACAAATAACCCAAAAGAAAGAATTACCCTAGTGAGGATGCTACCAGAATGAATGGGTATTCTTTGAAATAGCTTTCTCCTTTGATTTTATTTTTTTTTCCTTTTCAAATGAGCTTTATTAAGGTATGATATACATACCAAAAAACTCACCGGTTTTACTGGTACAGTTTTTTTTTTTTTTTTTTTTTAAGTAAATTTAGAGTTGTGCAAATATCATCCCATGTCAAATCCAGTTTTAGAATATTTTTCTTATCACTCCCAAAAGATCGATTGTCCCTGTTGTACTTAGTCTCCATTCCTACTCCCAGGTAACCACTCATCTGCTTTCTATCTCTATAGATTTGCCTTCTCTGGGTATTTTGTATAAATGTAATTATACAATATGTAGTCTTTCACATGTGGCTTCTTTCACTTAGCATAAAGTGTTTGAGGTTCATCCATATTGTAGCATATATCAATATTCTATTTTTATTGCATTTTGTTTATCTTTTTACCGGTTAATTGACATTTGGAGTGTATCTACCTTTTGGCTATTAGGAAATGAATAATGCTATTATGAAAATTTGCCTGCATGTCTGGAATGTACATATGTTTTCATTTATCT